AATAAAAATAAAAATAAAAATAAAAAAAATAAATAAAAATGGAAGGTGTTGCTGTCCAGCCACTTCTGTGCTATCAGGAGATCTGCTGCATTGGCATAAAGCTCCTGAACTGTGGGATCGCTGCTCTCAAGGACCAGCTCGTCATGGTATGAGCCTGCTTGTGCTTGACGCACAGACAGGTACATCCCCTCGTGACAGCAGGTAAAAGCAAATGTCAAATACAAATTCACAGTTTAAGGACTTATTTCACATTTAAAATGTATTAGAATGTGCGTTTGTGCACCCATACCATCTGTTTGGTAGTTAAGAGCCACGAGCTGCACGCCGTGGAGCCAGAAGATCAGTGGATGGGGATTTGAGGAGTCAATGCGCGTGGCAGCGGGGTAGGTCCTCAGGAGCTGACAGGTGGTGTGCTGGATCAGCTTCTGAGAGTACCGCCTGCACAGCCGCTTGGCAGCGTTCTCGTTCAGGGAGGAGATGTGATAGCACTTGGGCGTCCTTATGATAGCACTGAGAGAAGCTGGAGAGTTGTAAGGAGAGCAAGGATCTTCCCAGGTCTGCCGCATCACATCAAAAGGACCTGGAAAATAAACAGTACCTTCAAGTTACAGCTGCAGATCCAGAGACTCCAAGAATTCAACATTTTCTAGTGAAGTATGCGTGCACACTTTGGTTATGTAGAAAAAGGTGATCCTGGAAAATGACACTACTCACTCTAAGTGTCACACTCCTTCTTATACAGCAAGAACAATCCATGAGAGGAAACACAGTGTTTAAGTATTGAAATGATACTGTGATTAGATGTGCTAACAACCATTTTCATAAATAAATACTTAATTGGCATTTGCCTGAATAAAATAATGGAATAAAATTCTATTCTTCCCATTTATACATTTTACATGAGGAAGGGAGGCAAGGTTGAAAGCCATCTGCTAAGTCTCCAAACAGGCAGTCTCCAGAGTGCTGTAAGAGTTAGGGGACAAAGCCAGCAAAATACTTATATCCTTTAGAATTAGGCACTAGACTACTTCATTTTTAGGACACTGGCCTCTAGAAGGGAATCTAACCTGTCTGCTGCAGCCATGCCCTTGGGCTGAAAGAAATGCAACATTCCTTGAGCCAGAAAATGAGTACAAGAAAGGGTACAACTCTGTAACTTTCTGTTTATGGCATTCACCTGAAAGGCAGGGGATCTGTGTCTCATCCTTGCTCCAAAACCTCTTCTGTACCTTCTTTGTATTTCTTTACATCTGTTCATATGCAGAAGTACAATTTCCAAGTTCACAAACTGAATCACCTGCGGAGTCTAAATACCTCCAGGGTGGAACACCGGAGTTTGCACAATTACACGTTTGGACTTGGCTGAATTTTAGGCAACTAAGTCCTACTTCGGACACCAAAAATTCTTTTCTGGATCCAGCCCAACAGTTCTGCCTTCCATTTGTACTTCGAAAATATTCATTCATATCTTTCAAAATACAAACTTCAAGATACATCACTTCAAATGTATATTAGTTTTGAATAGTTTACAAATTAGGGTCTTCATACTCCTGACCAAGTAATCCTATTTTAACATTCCACACTCAACACTTCAGTTATAATAGCGTTACCGTAATAGCTGCTGCGCTAACGAAAAACCATTCCAAAGTTCAACATCTTACACATTGTAAAGTATGTGATCTTTAACAACTTGGTCTGGTACGTGTGTTGGATTACAGAGTCATTCCACGTGACTGGTGAAAGAAGATGCTAACTTTACCTTTTCCAGATGCTTTGGCAAGAGCAGCTGACTCCCCGGGGCTCAGCCTGCCAGGATTGTTGCCGAAAATGGACTTCCTGCTTTTTCTTTCTTTTCCTCTGCTAGAGCCAGATGGGTTTAGAGTTGACAAGCCTGTTCCCATTAATGTAAAATAAATGAGCCAAAAAACATGACCAAGAGGGCATGACATTTTCCATCATGTTTTACATTATTTTTGAAGGCATGAATACTCCTGTTATATAGTACACAGGGCAAGCAGTGTATTTTTGTCCATAATTTAATTTTAACATCTTTACGTACATACATGCCTTTATATACTTATATATTATGTATGTTTACATATATAATGTATACGAAAACTTATATGAAGCAATACAGATATACAGTTGTCTCTCTGTGATATAACTTTTCTCCATTTTACTTTTTGGCTTGAGGAAGGTAGTGACTCTGTCTCACATTACCAAATGGTCCTAATTCATACTAAAAAATTCTGCAGTAACAGACTCAACGTATTCATCCTTAGAATAATTTAAAAAAAAAATCCTTTCTACAGAAGCAATACATCTGTACAGTAGTGAATATAATGGAATTAATCTAGGATAAGATACCTACATAATTAAATAAATGCAAAAATATGATTTAAAGAGGTAGTGTAAAGGAAAAAGTCCAAATGCTGTTGGTTAAACAGTTTAAGCTCAAGAAATTTTCGGAGTTTTCTTCTTCTGTTTAGAATTTGTATTTCAATGATGGGAAATACGGTAGGTGTGCAAAATCCATTAAGCATTTAATGGCCAATATGTACTAGAAGCGGAGTGGGAAAGCTCTAGTATAGCTATGACTCAAACATATGCATTCCAGCAAAATAATCATTAAAATCATGATCCAAATCCCAGTGAAGTAAACAGACTTAATCCCCCTTAAGGTCAGTTTCTGTTGACTTGGAGAGAGCACATGGCAGACCAAAATTAAAGTAAGTCAAAACTCACGATAGTTATTCTGACACCCACAGCAGTGGTGTGACACCACAGCAGTGTGGGATGCCCTCAGAAACCCAAGATGTAATTGTGATATAAAATACAGCAAAGCAAGTACGCTGTTATTTGCATAACTGTGACTCATAAAACGAGCCTCATGAACTCACATCAATTCACACCTGCCTAAAGACAGTTCTGGATTTAATACTACTATTTCAACTACCAATGTAAATCGCAAAGAAGATACATTGGGCTATCTTCTACTGAAGTCTGTCCACAGTTGTAAATTCTCAGCTCTCAATCTTTACAGCATGTCTACATGTACTTAGTAAAATGATGCTGATAGTTTCAATGAAACTGCTTGGATTAGTAAAACCTAGGATATACATAAATGTTTTCAGTGCTGGAGATGTACCGTCCCATTGGGCCAAAGCATACACATAAACCACAGAAGACAGTAGAAGCTGAGATCAAGGAATATGAACTGACTAGAAGAATGAGGAGTGTGCTTCCAGCACTAGTTAATCCCAGTTTTCAATGGATCAAATGGATTTGGCAAGCAGGATCCATGTTTCAAAATCCTGTTGTGGAGACAGTCACTGAGGAAACAGACTAACCTCATAAATCACCAGAGAGCGCAATGCAAAACACCAGGGTTAACTGAACCCAATGTGATGGCCACAGGGTAAGCTGCAGCTGGGAGTTTTCTTTCAGTCTTTCCCATGGCTATGCTTTGTATGTGACATGCCTCTTCCCAGAGACAAGCTCCGTTTTTCACTCCAATTTAAATTTTACTCCGAAATATAGCATCACCTATTCATAGAATCATAAATTCATAAAATAATGGAGGTTGACAAGGACCTGGAAGTCATCTGGTCCAACCTTCTGGTCAAAGCAGGACCAGCTTAGATCCCACCATATTGCACATAGATCCTATCATACTACCATAATGACGAAGTAAATGTTTTGTATTTCCCTATAACCCCTATGCTATATCCTTTGAGTTACAGAATTTAGTGCCCATCTCTCATGTTAGATATAACCACACTGCTTTACTGCTTTTAAATTTTTAATCCAGAGGATGGCAGATAGTCTGACACAATGGAGATGGTGACTGAATGTCATGCTGGTTAGCTCAGGTGACTCTCTGCTCTCTGCACTTGACTGTGCAAATCCTATTTTTATGTACACAACTTTCTCTACTCACTGTGTAAGGATCCTCAGCACCAAGGCAACAAGCCATGTGCCAGTGGATTATAGCAGTACCGTACTCAAGTATGCTTCACTGCCCTCATCTTGGGTGACCCAAAAGAGCAGACCTTCACCCTCTTAGATAATGGTATGATGATATGCAACAGACTGAAACTGAAGTTAAGCAAGGACTGTAAGGGTCAAAAAACACTGGAACAACAAGAGCTGTGGTGGGTTCCTTGTTACCAGAGATTTTATAAACAAGAAATGTTATTTTCTCCACATGATAAATTCTGGTTTGATCAGGGAGCACTTTGGGAAGTCTGTGTTACTCAGTAGGCTAGGCTAAGTGAACATAATGGTCCTTATCCTTTTTTATAGTCACAAATCAGTGATTAACATTCAGGGACATAGGCAACTGTAAACACACATGAAGACAGGAGAAATAAAGTATTTACATCATTGATCAGCCACTGACATGAATTCTGCCCTCCCTATTTCCAAAACTCTTGCATTTTCTGAGCTGGTTAGGAACACGGTCAATAGAGCTACATAGTCATGGATGTACCAGCCTTGTTCTCATTATTAATGGACAATATGGGGGTATGGCAGTGCACCACGTCTGTGCCCTCCGGCTGAGCAGAGGAATCCAATCAGTAGCACGGTGGCCATGGAAGCCTACATATCTTGCAGAGAAGGCAGTATTTGTCTCAAAGGAGACAAAGTTTGTTGGAAAACTAATTTCTACAGCTTCATGTGTTCATCTGTGAAAGGAACTCATTTTCTTAATTGTTCTATTCATGTCTCCTTTAAAGCAAGAGGAAGAAATCCAGTAAGGACATCAGGTATTTCTTTTATAACTGAAATTACATTAAAAAACTGAAATATTTTAAAATTTTCTTAGAACATCAGAACTTTTTTGTGTGTCAAAATGCTTGGAACAACTTCAACTCTCTCTGTTTAATCTTGAATATCATTCTTCAAAAGAAAATATTTTATTTGAAAGATATCTCATTGCAGATTTCATTAAAAAGAGTATCAGATTTGAATTTTTAGAAGTTATTATTTTTACAAGTGACACCTACAATTCTTAAAGTTATAGAAGATTACAAAAGAATGTCTCTCCATTTTTCAGTGTGTTTATCTTGCCTATTTGACACTGTTTTATGTTTGGTTAGCTTCTCTAATCTGATTCTAGTTCTATTTGTATAAGATCATGATTTGGCAGTATTGCTAACTTTTCCACAGAGCACCATTCCATTAAAAAGCAGATTTTTCATTCAAAACATTAAATACATCAATAAACAATAAATTCTCAATTTATAAGTATTTATGTATACAGTACAAGCCAAAACATACTCAACCTCATGTTTCAGTACTGAACAAGTAACTATCAGTGATCTCCTCTTCAGTTACTCCCTCTTCTTTTCCTCTGCAAACGTTATTCTTCCTACTGTACAAAAGGAGACCCTCCTATTTCCTTAACCCCTTCCATAAAGAGTGTCTGTGAGCGTGCAATCGGCTGTCCTCACCCACCCCGTGAAAAGGCTGCTTTACCCCCCCAAATGGCTCCCCTCCTTTCCACTTAGGAAAGAACAGAAGACGCAGCTGTAGGCAAAGGTGAAAAACGCCAAACGGAGGTCACTTAAAGAAATGTGACCAAGCTCTTCCAGCAAGGTTTGAAGAATATTTTACTTCCTAATTCAGCACGTCCTTACATGGGAACTCGGAGCTCTTAAGATAAAGCTTTCTGTCGTCTGTCATTTGGCAATGAAGCAGTTGTCTAAGTTGTGGAGACTGGCAAATTTCACTTTTGTAAACATTTTAATATGACAAACAATATGTCTTCACATAATTTATGCATACTACTTCTCAGCCAGGAGCTATTATTACGCAGACTACCATATCATCAAGAAAAAAAGCTCCTCGACTACTTCAATTTGAAAATGCTTGTACTAACTAATTCAAAACATAAACATAATGTCTCCAAGAATTAGAAAGCCTAAAGCGATAAAACAGGGCAGTGTACTTACCAGGGAACTTTACGGCTTGACAGTAAATCACAAGATCTGATAGCTCTGGGGCAATCTGTCTGCTTTCCTTTTTATTTTGCGGAAGATAGAATTCTTCACCCAGCTCCATATCGTACACCTAAGTGACAGTTCCAGGAACATATAATAATAAAATTACTGAATGTGAAGTACTCTTGCATATCTTATGTCCTTAAAATTCTTTATCTCATTCTTCCCATATGGTTTGCTGTCTTCACCTAACAGACCTCTCTGTGCAGGTTTATGCATCAATGCCTGTTACTGATACTGGAATAGTGTGCAAAGGCCTCAATCGGAGTCAGTTCTACAAACATTTAGACAAAAAACAGCTGTGTTCAGGAGAAATTACAATTTACTAAACAGCAATGCAGTGGTTCAGTTGTCAGATGATTTAATAAAAGGTAACGTGGCTATCTGATATCATAGTGCGACATGTTATTTATATATACACAAAAGATGCTGAAGATTCAGATGAAATCTTCAGTTCCATTGACGTTAATGGAAATCAGATATCTAAATAACCTGCTGGATTTAGCTTCAATGAAGTCTTTCATTGAGAGCAATGACAGTTAAAATTTTAAGCCTAACAGCCTGTATATACAATAACCTCCGAGGACTCTTCTTGAACAGTATGCTGAGCATTCGTTCTATTTTCTCTGGTGTGCTTCCATGCTTTTTACTATTTGTCTTCATTAAAGCGCATTTGCCATCTGATGTCTCAGTTACCTAAACTGCTCAAATCCTTCTGAAGCTGGTTATATAACAAAGCGTGGCTGAGAAGAAAGGGGGGAAAAAACAGAACTACCTTTCCTTTATTATTGTAAGTAGCACAATCAGCCTTCTTTATTCGTTTGGCAGTCTCTTCATTATATTCAAACTGCAGTTTATCACTTGATAATTTATTCTCAGGTCGGTCTTCAAGAATGTTATCTAAAAATTAATGGGATTTTAATAAACATAAAGCCAAACAATTTCAACTGGAAATTTAATTTGAATTAATAATATTTGTGGACAATGCTGTGAATCTTATCTGAATAACCAGATGCCAAAATAATGCATTTACTGGTCAAAGCATTCTCTTTTAGTAGTAACTTTCTACTTTAAGAATTTAATGCTCAGCTTTGGTTAATATGTTGCACTTCTTTAAAACCCCATCCTTTTGTGCTGGGAAGATGCTTAAAACAAAGTCATCTAACGAATTAAGCTTGCCATCTGAAAACAACTGATATTCCTGAACAACAAAGAATTGGTCAAGTCCATACACAATTAACCAAATCAAACATTTACACGTCTTTGTACAGCAAATTTTGGCTTTCCTCTCCTTACATTCACCATGAATGAATATTTTTTTACATCTATAGAAATTCCTCTTCAAAGTATGTATTCCTCTTCTACATATGTATTAGAGAATAATACACCTACTAATTTGGTCTTTCTGGACCAAAACGTTGCAACTGTCACAAAAGGAATGGTTTTATTTCATTCCTGATATTTCTGATGCTTTGACCATATTCTTTTTTATGCATAACCAGTGTCACACATGCAGCCTTCTAACAGTTCCTAACCAGTTAACAATGCCATATAAAAATCTCTGATTGCTTTTTTAATATGAAGTAGAAACCATATATTCACACTGTCACATTTAACAGGCTGGAGATGCAGTGCTGATTTCATGCAGTTAAAATGCTCAACCAAATGGCCTTTACCTTCCTGGCTGTTAGGAGCAGGAGAAGCATTAAGGACATCAGCTACAGGGAAACAGAGTCAGAGAGGGAATAAGAGTAAAGGAAATTAAGATTTACAGCCAGAGAAATGAAAATTAAGTGTCAGTTGTAAAACTATTAGCCTTACGCAAACCTAATGTATCAGTACGGAAAATAAAACTGAAAATCTTTTAGAAAGTTTACAGACCATTATTTAGATTAGTTTTGCCAAAATATTAACATAATTAAAGATCCCAAAGACTAATCATTGTAATAAAGCAGTAAACCATGCCACAGATTCCTTCATATATTGGAAGGTGTGAATGTTTCTTGCCAGCTACAGATTTCTCAAACCTCCTCTTAACTAGAACATTGCTCAAAAATCTCTTACTGCAGTTAGCTTGCAATATTTTCCTGGCAAGCGTGCTAATGAAGATCTAAGTTTTTCACAGCAATTTACATCTACACTATCTCCACCCTGTCCCACACAAGGAGCATTCTCAAGTAGCCAGTTAAGCCAACTTTCTAGCAAAATGCAACTGAAGGCAGCACCGGCCTCAAACTCATAAATTTTCCTATTAGCATAAATAATACTGCTAGACCACAAGCAGTCAGGTCCTTCATTTTGTGACTATTCTTAAATCTTTAACACAGAAGCCAGTAATGTAAATAATAGGCCAATTGGAAAGAAGTTCTGTGCTGCAGAGCATGCTCGAGCCTTACATCTTCTCTGAACATGGTACCTAGAACTTAAACAGGCACCCATTAGACCTAAAGGTTCAATGAGTGAAGTACTTCACCTAGGAGAACATGCCCAACTGCATCCGACCAATGGTCCATCTAGCTCGGCAT